TGTGAGAGGGATCGGACGGGAGTGCGCGAGGCACGCGTCTGCGTGCCTCTGTGCGAGCGTATGTGCTTTGAGAAACAATATACTATTTGCTGAACACAACTGCTTGGAGTTTGGAGTTTCAATATTCATCGCTACAACAGATCTACATTTAAGCGGGTAACGTCATCTTCGTCGTTACAATAGCAGATAAGAAGAGGATCAGGAGTAGGAGGTGGGGGAGGAGTAGCAGCAAGAGGAGGAGGTGGAGGATGAGGAGGAGGAGCAAAATTTATACTTCAGCTAATCACTGCGCCATTGTCTGCAAGCGAGATGAACCGCTTCACCGACCTAATCGTTGTAACGAACACTTAAGAGCGATATAACAGCTCTCAGCTCTAAAGATCAGCAGATCGCGTGGACGAGCTTGGAAGGCATTACAACTGCAGCCTCACTATGAAAAAAAGATCGTAAATCTCAAGAGAGAATTCTGGCAGAGAGATATCTTGCGTTATGTTAGGTTCATATACTTATGTCGAGTCGAGCTGCTCTATTAGAGTTATAGTAACGAGGTGTTGTCTGTTACTGAAACAAACCATCCTTACAGCTCTCAGCACATGTAACGTGATAACGTGTTCAAATTCTCCTCCTATTTGTTATTCCGATCCGGAGTGGATCTGTGAATGACATAGAAACAACTGTTGTTGACTCACTCAAATCACGGCCCCACTCCTACATGCTAGTAGTTCTGAGTCAGTGTAACGTAGTGTGGTATCACACAGATTATTACATCGTAAATAATTCTCACGTGGCTCTATTGTTGTTGTTCTTGTTATATTGATTCTGTACGATATTTCATGTAGCACGCGCAATTTTTAATTGTGTGAAAAAGTAATAGCGAAAGATAGAGAGGGGCAAGAGAGCGAATGAGAGAACGAAAGAGGGCGAGCGAGAGCAACAGAAAGGCAGAGGGCGTGAGCGAGAATGAGGGAGAGAGAAGGCGCGCGCGGCGGGAGTGAGAGAACGGCACAGAGAGAGAAGGGAGATGCGGAGTGAAGAGTGTGGTTTGTGTGAGAGAGAGAGAGAGAGAGGGCGCGAGAGAGAAATCATACAATTAATTTGTCAAGCCCGTTGGTAATATGGTATAAATCTCTGCGTGTATAAGGTATATACACTTTTATTATAAACCGTGTATTGTACAATATGTTCAGATATATGCGTATGAGTATATGCGTCGCGTTTACCGCATAAGTTTTGTATTACAATTCTAGGTGTATGCGTATAACAGAGAAAGAGAGAGAGAGATTGAGGAAGAGAAAGAGAGAGGACAACAGCGAGAAAGAGAGTATGAGGGCGGGGCAAAAACGAAGGGCGAGAGCAAACGGGGTAGAGCGCGAGTAAGAGCTCGAGAGAGATAGAGGGGGCGAGAGAGAAAGCGAGAGAGAGAGAGCGCGGGAGAGGGCGAAAGCGCGAGAGCGAAAGAGCGAAAGAGAGAGGGCGAGAGCGCGAGAGAGAAAGAGCGCGAGAGAGAAAGAGCGCGAGAGAGAAAGTGAAAGAGAGAAAGAGTAAGGCGAGAGCAAGAGCGAAAGAAATAGGGTGCGAGTACGAGTGAAACCGAGAGAAGGAGAGAAGGAGAGAAAGAGAGAGAGAGAAAGTGTGTGAGAGAGAGAGAGAGAGCGAGAAAGAGAGAAAGAGCGAGAGAGAGAGAGAGAGAGAGAGAGAGATTGCGTGAGAGCGATAGTGAGAGCGAGAGAGATTGGGNCGAGAGTGAGGGCTAGAGAAAGTGGGGCGATAGAGAGAGCGCGAGAGATTGGGCGAGAGAGAGAGTGGGGCGATAGAGAGAGCGCGAGAGATTGAGCGAAAGAGAGTGGGGCGATAGTGAGAGCGAAAGAGATTGGGCGAGATTGAGGACGCGCGAGAAAGAATATATATAATATGCTCATTTGGTTTTTTATTTAACGTGTATAACCATGTATCATATCGTAATTCCACGCGCATGCGTATGAGTATATGGTCTCGTTTATAGTTGTACGCTTGTTTCTAATCTTGTCTATATTATCGTGACGCTTAGTTTTAATTTGGGATCACTGTTGATTTACAGTCTCGTTTTTATTTTACGTTCTTGTATGTGCTTTTATGATTGAAATGTTTAATANAGAGAGAGAGAGAGAGAGAGAGAGAGAGAGAGAGAGAGAGAGAGAGAGAGAGAGAGAGAGAGAGAGAGAGAGATTGCGTGAGAGCGATAGTGAGAGCGAGAGAGATTGGGCGAGAGTGATGGCGAGAGAGAGTTGGGCGAGAGTGAGAGCGAGAGAGATTCGCCGAGAGTGAGGGCTAGAGAGAGTGGGGCGATAGTGAGAGCGAGAGAGATTGGGCGAGAGAGAGCGGGGCCACTCTCTTTCGCTCTCACTATCCGCCCATATTATATATATTCTTTCTCGCGCGTCCTCACTCTCGCCCAATCTCTCTCGCATTCACTTTTACGCATGCGCGTGGAATTACGATATGATACATGGTTATACACGTTAAATACAAAACCAAATGAGCTGAGTATATGGTCTCGTTTATAGTTGTACGCTTGTTTCTAATCTTGTCTATATTATCGTGACGCTTAGTTTTAATTTGGGATCACTGTTGATTTACAGTCTCGTTTTTATTTTACGTCCTTGTATGTGCTTTTATGATTGAAATGTTTAATAATAAACAATGTATACTGAATGTAAGCTCTACAAGGTTTCTTATCCGTGTATTGTTCAACAATCTAGTGCACGATAATACTTTTTAGCAGCTAGTACTATATAATTTGTAGTTGATCATGCTCCTGATATGATCATGTCAGCTGCCTTCTCTGCCACCATTACTGTAGTGGCCTGGGTGTTAGCCGATACAATCTCCGGCATTATAGAAGCATCAACTACTCTTACACCATTGAGTCCACGGATCCTGAATAAACGCAACAAGAGTTTATAGCTAACACGTATTAACGATAATATCAAGAGCTAATAATACCTAAGTATTATTAGCTCTTGATAATATAGCCATAAACACACACAGACACACACACACACACACACACACACACACACACACACACACACACGACACGCCGGCGTGCGCGCAGCCACTAACACAGTTGACACACACGTCACATTGCCCAGTATGTGGTAATATCACGAATTCGAGATTTAAACCAACACGGACAGAGCATAGGCGTCATAAAACAATCTTATTATATATGCCTGGAACTATTTATTACATTTTTATGATGTCAAAAGGCTCATGTTCACGAATAAGTTCGCACCGACATGTCTTAACGTCAACCTGAACAAATGAACCCAAGAGATGAATCAACTCGACACGGTCTTACTTACAAACTTGTTTTTTCTTATGCTATTTAGGTCAATGTTATTCCAACGTTACCTGGAGTGGCGGCAGTCAACAGACTGCTAGTTTTTGATCATTGAGCGTGCTCCCATCTTACGATGTTTTGCCATTGTTCGCGGTTGGTATTTGAGTGTGTTATTGTTCTAACTGCCCACAGTTCCCAGTAGCGTCAGACTTGTACTTCATGCTTACCTCACAGCCTAGGAACGGATCGTGATCTGCAGTCTAGCGCCGACAGCTGGATTGACATCGCTTTCAGTCGTCAGGTCGCAATACTGCAACAGCTGTTTTGATCTTTATGGGCGGCGCTAGTAGAGAGATAATCGTATGAATGAAGTCGCAATTGCTTAGAAATCTGATCTTAATATATTGCTGAATTATAATTGTTTATCCACAGTGCAACACCTGTACATATAATGTAGATAGACAGGGTGGTGTGCCCTCGCTGCTCGATCCCTATTTATTGAATTTGTGCGGTCAACGCGATTTATTCTATTTCAATTATCTAGTAAGTGTTTAAAGATCATGCGACGCGATTTTAGACCCCTTCGTAGAAAATAAAAAGTGTTTAACTATTGGAAAAGTCATTTAGACAAATTACGAGCAGAGTAAGTCTGTTATTTCATAACGTTTCTACAGCACTTCGAACTTTAATATATTAAGCGAAAACTATCCACTTTTACCTCTTCTCACATAGATGATTTGACTATCAGAGTTCCATCAAGGCTAGTATTGCGTCAATTTCATGGCGGATTCGACGTGCGGGCTCTGATGATGCAGCCGTTCCTCTCCAACACTCATCTAGGGTGAAGCCAGAGGAAATGGCTATCCACTGTTCATGACTGGAATGGGTCTTAGTGCTCGGGAAATTATAGTAGAGTCTATCAAAAACTGTAATTTGATTGACGCGCCATCTAGATTTAAACTGCTCGTCAATTATATCTTTTTGACCAATTTGTGTCAGTTCGACTAATTATCTCTTTGATTCGTTACAACTGGCATTAGGGCATTTGCATATCCCAAGCGAGTAGTTAGATTGCTCTTCAGTTAGTTAGAATGTACTGGATATATGACAAAATTTTGTATTGAATATAAGATATTCTCCTGAGTTATTTATCGGTCGTTGTTTAGTACTATATTAATACGAGCAAACGATTGCGATGAAAGAGCATTTCGAACAAAAATTCTTTATGCAAAGCTGAAATCGTACCTTCTTAGTTGCAAGCCCAGTTAATATTATAAATGGTTTTCATCAGCCTCGCGTAAAGCCAAGTCCCAGGACGACAGATGATGTATCTGAATATCAGGCAGAATTACAGTTTAGCGAATCAGCTGCTTTTGTCTTGATAACACCAGAACTCCCATCAATTAGTGCGAGAGCAGAGGACCTGCAGGGAAATAACACGGTAACATAACATCAGAACGAATAATAAATAGATTAATTATAATATTCATTCTTTATATATTCTTTAAATACTATATTTCTTTCCATTTTGTTATATTATTCCATATATTATTATAGGTCCTCTTATATTCTATTATTATTCACTCCTATAACATTAACTCACTAGAGCACTCGGAGGGCAGACCTCCGCCAGAGCAGCTTGAATTCTCTCACCTCTCAAATGTTATTAATTATATTGTTTAATTAAATATTAATTGGATCCGGCAATCACAGAAAATTGAAATGAATTTGCAGTTACCCCATTTCTGACCTTACTCCTGAATGTAATTATTAATTTAATTAATTAATTATTTTGATTGGATCCGGAATCCCCAAAATGTAATCAATTTCTAAGTGTACCCTTTTTCTGACCTATCCTGAAAATTTTATTGACAACTCCGGTCCATAACTATTTTCAGTTAGGCTGTGACACAAACCGCAGCAAACAAACAACAAACCACTGACAGGTGAACAACACATAACCTCCCTGCACCCCTGGCGGAAGGTAATAACTAATATAGCCAATATATGACCCTGCGTATACTGCATCACGTCTGCTTTGTAAAACAACACGTAATTTTTTAACAAGAATTGGTTGGATGTACTTCATAAGAAAGCTATAGCGATTGCACGTTTGTGGATTTATTTGCGAAATGAATGTTTTTTTCAGGACGACTCTGTGTAGTGACGTTCTAGACGTCGACTAACCAACCTTTTCCAAAGAGGCTGTACTTCAGGCTACTCTGCCAGCTCTCTAGAAGATCTGCAGTGATTGTTATTGGCTTGTCTATCCAGAACTCGGGATAGACGACTCCACAATGGTCTTGTAGGTGTTGCCCGACCGGTAAGTCAGCAACAGTTGATATCTTAAAATTCAGTAGAAACACCAACGATTTTTACTAGATTATACATCTGCTGTAAGATTCTTATGATATTTTATTATGAGGTCATTAATGTCAATTCACAAGACGGNATCAGCAACAGTTGATATCTTAAAATTCAGTAGAAACACCAACGATTTTTACTAGATTATACATCTGCTGTATCTTGTGAATTGACATTAATGGACTCATAATAAAATTATGAGATGATGTTCCTGAAGTTATTGAATAGTTATCACGTACTCCTATCACAATGAAGAGAATTATGAGTACATTCCGGGGATTCACAAGTTATTCTACGTCGGTGACCACGGTCGACAAACACCTCTCTCTTCTTAAATAACGAGATGAACCTCAATACATATGGAGTAAGCGGACACTTAAATTAAATCGACTATCTATCTACACTATGAGAGAGCACGTGCACTATCTACAGCCTATTAATTCGACGAGCGCTACCATCTTCATATTTTAATCGAACTAAGCTCAGTGAACCAAATTCCACTAATTTGAATAGTCAAGTCTATATTTTCTGAGCAGAGACAGTAGATCATTAGTAATTAAACTAAGTATATATATATATATATATATATATATATGTATACATAACATAGATCGTACGTTGAACTTGGCAAGGTGATCCTTTGGCCCAACACCAGACAACATGAGGATGTGTGGAGAACCAATGCTACCAGCAGAGAGAATCACTTCCTTTGACACATGAACAGTCTTCTTTTCAGCACCGTTAATGAAGGTGACTCCTGTTGCTTTCTTACCATCAAAGTTTATCTGAAAACCACATAGCATAAATATCGCAAACTTCTTTTATATCTCAGACTTTATTTTCAAGTTGTTAGCTAACTGTATTTATTATCAGTGTGTTACCTTGGTTACGTGCGCATTGATGGTTATGTCTAGGTTTGATCTGTGCATGGCTGGTCTCAGATATGCCTCAGCTGTGCTCCAACGTTTTCCACCCTTTATGTTTGCTTGTGATTTCATAAAAGCTATCACGATAGGAGAAACAATATAATTAAAAGACAAGACACTTTAATAATGGGAGTTAGTTAATTACTTTGTCCTACGTTACGTTTTACCACCCTAGAATGGAAGAGTTCATTGTTATCCTCTATATAGTTTATAGTTACCTTCTTGGTTCTCTCCATTAACATCACCAAGTTTATAACCAAGTTCCTGCGCAGCATTTAGAAAAACATCGATCAGTTCTGTGTATGAAGAATCAGAGATTGTCCATGGTCCACCTGACCCATGGTAACCTGTAATACCAGACCGATGAACAAAAACCCTAACTCTGCATATGTATGTACGTAAGGATGAACTGAATATTATATAGTAGAAGTAAATAATGCTCAGCAAATTAAACATATTTAAATTAATTGTACAAAGACAGTAAGAGCAAATAAGGTATCCACACATGCGGTCAAAAATTCAATGAAACATTTTCTTTCTTCGGCTAGACATCTTTCATTACATACCACTCCGCACATATTCCTCATTCTGGTTGTCTTCGGCTTTTTTGAAGTATGGCAGGACGTCGTTATAACTCCATCCCCGTGCGCCCATCTTTTCCCAGAGATTAAAGTCTCCCTTGTTGCCTCGTACATACTGCATAGCGTTTAGACCGCTTGACCCGCCAAGCATTCGTCCTCTTGGCCACCGGCTCCTCTGTAATTACAGGATAAGTAATTATAGTCAATATCTATGAGTGATTTGTCCACCAAATTTTCCTATTATATATACTATTATTACACCCGGTGCTGAGTTCTTTATTTCCACATGATGAATGCGTCGATCAAGTTGAGAAATACTGACGTATTTAAGTATTCATTTAAATAATTAAATAAAAACCTGCTACATGCTTTTCCTAAAAAGAAACGGAGAAAAAACTTTCCACGTGCCTTCTCTTCAAGACCTCGACAGGCTTTTTTCTGTGGCACAGTCCTGAAGCTCCAGTCTTGCTTTGTATTTATTTGTGACAAGAATGATGAAGGTTTTACAACATTCTCGTTTTCAGAAGGGTCGCCTCCTGCCTCCAGTAGAAGCACCTTGTTGCTACTGACGTCAGAGAGGCGAGCAGCCAATACGCAGCCTGCACTACCTGCTCCCACTGCGGTAAGAAAGAGTTAAGTATAGATGGATGGGATGCAATCGGAATGGCGAGATACGAACGTCATGGTTACTACGTTTTGATCGTACTAGTTACGTTCTAATAATAGCATCTATGTACCTATGACGTAATCGTAGCGTTCATCAGGATTCTCTTGTATGATAAACTGGTCCACGCGCTGTGATCTCCAGTATAAAACTCCAACCACAGCCACCGTCACGACTATGACGTTAGTCCACATCCTTGATTATACTGCAGCACCTCGTACCTTCCCTATGACACCACCTACGTCATGCAAATGAAATCGTTTGAGAATACATCCATTTATTTAAACAATATTTGGAAAATTATGGCCTTTTTTATACCTTTACCTATATATACTTACTTGCTTATTCTTACAGCGATGTTGCAAATATATGTCGTCTTGAAGGTTACGTTATTTCTTTTCGCAAATCGCTGTACTTTCACAAATTTATAGCACTTAAAAGTTAAGATATATGGATCACTAGTGACCGGTATTAACACGATACAAGAACCAGGATCGTTTATTGCAGCACCTGCTAGAACTCCGGACAAGCAGGAGTTCAAGGTTATAATATACGGACTATTAGGGGGTATGCACCAGGTATAATAAAACAATATAACGGCAGTTTGCCCTCGATCATCCGGGGTTCCAGCAGCTGCAATAAACTGTCGCTGGTTCATAGAGGAATACAGAAATCTGTTTGTAAATATCGATGTGTGTATATGTGATTATATGGGGGCAGGGACCGATGCACGGAGACGGCGCATTATACCTGACTCATTCTACGTGTAGTGCTACAATGCAACGTTGAAAAGCTAAGAAATCACGATTATATATATTTTATTATAATATTTATTATTATATTATTTATGTATATTATTATTATATATATATATATATATATATATTTATATATATATATATATATATATATATATATATATGTCTGGTTTGATTTTATCTTTATGGTTACTAATATATTGTGGATATGAGGAGAATATTGGAAATAATCCAGGCGCTAGAGCTTATCATGCGATAGATAACTGTTCCCTGATTTCTTCCTACAATGAGCAAGGATATAGGAATCAATAAACAGTTAGCACATAGTAGGCAGTGCAGTACGCAAGAGGAGTATTTGTCCAGGGACTGTACATCTTCACAACATTTTACACACAAGAGACAATAGATGGCAGAACGAGACTAGAAAGTCACACGTTAAGATGAGCTTTTACGCATTTACAAAATATTACACACAATATTAACAAAAAGTGAACAAAATCACGAAAGATGTTTAACGATTAAATCGACTCCATACTCTTTAAGATATAATTACTGAGAACGGACTTAAATTGTCACACAATAAACGACAGCCGTACACGCCCACACGCGACTCACTCCCTCACGCACGCATACACGCATGCACGCAGGCACGCACTTACCCACCTGTTATATAGGTACATAGGTGACTAACATCATCGTTGCATCACTGCAACACAGACGTCTAGTGACTATGTTACTGCCCCTCATTCACTCTTTCTCCTGTTTTGGCGTTGGTCGGCTCTCTCTCTCTCTCTCTCTCTCTCTCTCTCTCTCACTCTCTTTTGCTCCTGCCTCACTGTCTCCCTCGTTCTATCTTTATTTTTCTCCTCCCTCTATCGCGTACGCGAGTGCGTGTAAAAGTGCGTTTGTGTGCGCGCGCGAGTGAGGGAAACTGCCTGGTACGATCGTTTACATGACGGGGTTTTAAACAACATTGCCATATGAATAGATAGATAGATAGATAGATAGCTACCTAGATAGATAAAGAGATTGATAGTTAGATAGATAGATAGATAGATAGATAAGATAGATAGATAGATAGATAGATGCATAGATAGATAGATAGATAGACAGATACATAGATTAGATAGATACATACATAGATAGATAAAATATATATATATATATATATATATATAGCATAGATAGATAGATTAGAGTAGTAGATAGATAGATAGATAGCATAGTCATAGATTAGATAGATAGATAGATAATAGATTAGATAGATAGATAGATAGATAGATAAATAGATAGATAGCATAGATAGATAGATAGAATAGATAGATAGATCGATAGATAGATAGATAGATAGATAAGATAGATAGATAGTATAGATAGATAGATAGATAGATAGATAGATAGATATAGATAGATAGAGTAGGATATATTAGATAGATAGATAGACAGACAGATAGAGAGAGAGATTAGATTAGAAGATAGTAGATAGCATAGATAGATAGATAGATAGATAGATGATAGATAGATAGAGTAGATAGATAGATAGTATAGATAGATAGATAGAGTGATTAGAGAGATAGATAGATAGATAGATAGATAGATAGATAGATTAGATAGATAGATAGAATAGATAGATAGATAGAAAAAAAAACAAAAAAAATAAAAACAAAAAATATAGATAGATAGATAAATAGATTAGATAGATAGATAGATAGATAGATAGATAGATAGCTAGCTAGATAGATAGATAGATAGATAGATAGATAGATAGAAGGATAGAGTATTATTAGATAGATAGATAGATAGAGTAGATAGATAGATAGATAGACAGATAGAAGGATAGATTGGGATGGACGGTCGGATGGTCATGGACGGATGGGATTGGACGGCATGGGATTGATGAATGGATGTGATGGATGGATGGATGGATGGATAAAATGGATGGGGATGATGGATGGATGGATGGATTCGATGGATGGATGATGGATGATAGGATGGATGGATAGATGGATGGATAGATGGATGGATGGATGGAAGGATGTATGGATGGATATGGATGGATGAATAGATGGATGGATGAAGGATGGATAGATAGATAGACACATAGATAGATAGATGGATAGATAGATAGATCGTCCGTTCTTCCGTCTGTGCGTCAATCATTCATCCACCCATCCATTAACCCGCCCATTCACCCACGCATCCATCCATTCATCATTCCATCCATCTATCTATCCATCCATCCATCTACACGCTCATTCATCCACCCATAAATCCTTCCATTCACCCGCCCGCCCGTTTGTGGAAACGTATTATGTAATACATAAACATGTCGCTGGCGTTTCTTGTTTAAAGTATTTTTAGTACCGAGTAACGTCCAAACTGGCTTCTTCTCGCGAGATATCGGACACGTGATATCCTGTGTTCGGGTCTTGTTGGTCAGTACTCCATTTTCTATCGAGGAATGTGCACCGGTTTTCCGCATTCTCCGTTATCGCCTACCAGCGCCACGATAATAAGCAACGCATAGCGGATTTGATGCTATAAATATCACTGTTAATAAATACAGTTCAGTGATAAATGTGTTTTATATAAAAGTAATTAAGTTCTCTGAAAGACAGGTTAATGTGCGCGCTTCAGTACAGTCCTCATTTAAATCCCTCCCTAAACAACAAGCAGGCTCCGGGTCTGCGTA